CACACACACACACACACACACACACACACACACACACACACACACACACAGAGGTGTGCACATTTCCACACGTGTTCATTTTGCTTCAATAACCTGAATGGTAAAATTCAAGAAGATGAGTCTTGAAATGATGGAGATGTAAGGAGTGTAGTGATATGTATATGAAGGGCCAACACTGCACCAGTGCTGCAATAAAAATCGGAATACCTTGATCTTATGTGAATTTCATAAATAAATAATAAATGTTTCCCACAAAGTGAGCTTTAATGCATTAAGAAAATAAAAGTAAAAATCTGATTTGTGACGCTGTATGGCTCAAATCCACTGTAATGCCAAACTACACACCTCTACGGGCTACAGCAGATTTTCTGTCAATAAGTCCCGTGCACTGACAGGTGTGATTATTTGTGGTTATTATTATTAATATTATTATCGGATGCTGAGGGGTAAAATTCATGATAATGTGTCTGGGTTTTTTTGTACAGATTATAAAAACATTTGAAAACCAATCAGCTGTTTCAAAGGTCAGAGGAGTGAATATTGATATTACAGACTTTTTCTTGTTTAAACACACATGTTTATACACTTAGGTTATATGGATTGAGAATGTAAAGGCCTCAGGCTTAAACTTCAGTGGTAAGGAGACATTTCTTTGCATTTCTTCATCTTTTCCCATGTTGATGCTGGAGGTTCTCAAATATTTAAAACCACGCCCTTCACTCTGTGATATTCTAAATGTCAGATACGGCACCATCAAGATGTTATTTTTCATAGACAAACCATATTCATTCATTCATTCATTCCCCTGGCTATCCACATCCCCTGGAGAGACTCTGTGCTTCACCAGGGAGAGACATTTATATAAAATTATATAAAATGTCTCATTGAAAAACTTCCTGTTATCCCCTTTTGACTTTTGTGCCCTCCTTCTTTTGGTCTGACTAAACATTGACAGTGTGATGGACAGTGTGTTTGCTGTAGGCTTTAGTATCTACTTTGGTGCAGAGCTCAGTTTCAAAACCAGTATAAAAAATAATGGTACGTTTTCACAGATCATACTGAAACAAAAGTTGCTGAACTATTTGCATGACAGTGTTGTGAAAAAAAGGGATTACCAGGCAAACAGGGCTGCATGGGGGGGTGGGAGGGATTAGAGAGTAAAAGTGAGGGGCCCGTCCTGACCAGCATGGCTGAGGAGCGAGTGC